GCATATTGCCTTTTATTTTTGGAAGTAGTTTTAGTTTAGTTATATTATGTAAACACAAACTTTTATTATGTTGTTGCGATTAATCTTGATTAAAGGTGGGGTAAGCGATTTCTGGTAGCCAATGTTGACATTTAAAATCACCAAAACAAATACGCCCCTACCCCAAAAGAGTCTCGCCCCTATTTTGATAGCTCCGCCCCACACATACGTACGCAACCCAGGCAACGATTAGTTCTGTGAAACAAAGTAAAACCAATGTTACACGTGTCTACACCGGACGCGAGTAGCGCGACGCGACAAAATACTATAGAACTCATTATAATCAGTGATGCTGTCTACACCATATATATATATATATATACACACATATATATGGTCTACACTGGATGCGGCGCGCCACAACACGACAAATCCCTGACAGAAAACTGCTGCTGCGTTCTATTTATGACGTATTGACACACATTTCTAATGATTTTCAACGGTCGCTTTGTCGCGTCCAGTGTACTACAGACTTTAGCTGTTGTGGCGAGACACAGTGTTTCTCACCCATCGAGAAGAAACAAAGCAACCTCGGCATCCGATCACAGGCCTTTCGCTCCTTGAGTCCTCTCCAGCGCTGGAAAGCTGATCCGATATTTACACGGGTCCTACTTCTTGCCTTATTGCTTTAAGCCTTCTTTTGTGCCGCAGACGGTTTCCTCTTTAGTTTTTTATCCGCCATCTCTATCTTTCTGTCGCTTGGCTCGCTAATGTCCGTCCTGTGCTGCGCACTGTACGCTCTCTCCTCCACATCATGAGTAGACACGCCCCTTACTGCTGATTGGCTACACGTTTGTTTTGCTATTCGGCCCGAATCGGTTTTCTAAATCATTTTTGAAAAATCACTTACCCCACCTTTAATCAGTTATAAAGGATCGGCAAAATAAAGGATTGGCGAAATAAAGGAGCCAAAATGTGACTCTTGACATTTTTTATGACAGCTTAACTCAGAATAATCCATATTTTCTTGCATGCGTTCATACACTCAGCGCTGCATAATAGTAAACAGTTCTGCTTTTATGTAGCTGCAGAGGTTTGAAGAACATGAATTTCAGCTTGATGTGAGTCATTCAGGAGAGCTCCTCACTAATGCAGAACAGCACCGATACAGTATTGATGGTGAATCTCTGCGGAGGTTATCGTTTGGAGAGGTGAGTCAGCTACACTTGAGCAGGGTTTCCTGTCATCTTCAAGTGCGGCCGCCACACGAGTGTGTGAGTCATTGTGGTGGGACGTTAATGCAGTGTGTGCTTGTGTTTCATCTGTACAGAGATCTGGATTAGAATAAAAACATTGACCGCTTTCGGGACTGATGATTGGTTATCTCAAGGGCTTTTCCTTTTTCTTTGTTCTTTGTGGGTCTCTTTTGAACAGCAGAGCTCAGTGAAAAATCTTAGACATCCAGAAGATTCTATTCTAAAATAGAAAATAATTACTTTAGATTGAAATAATATTTTACAATATAACTGTTTTACTGTTTTTTGATCAAATAAATGCAGCCTTGGTGAGCAGAAGTATTGGAGCCTGTTGGCACCACGGAAAAAAATTTAAAGGTAATTCCAATTGTTTATATCTCACAATAATGCATTTATATCTCGGAATTATGCATTTATATCATGCAAATTCTGAGTTTTTCCTCAAAATTGAAAAAATAAAAGTCCGAATTGTGAGATGATAACTCAGAATTGCTAGGGAAAAAGTCAAAATTGTGAGGTTAAAAAGTCGCAATTAAATAAAATAAAATTAAATGAAATTTTTAATGGAATGAAATTAAAATCTTAATGGCCCCAAACTTTTAGACAATAGTGCCTGTATATAATTTATTGATATCTATCTATCTATCTATCTATATATATATATTTCTTTCTCTCCTCCATCTCCCTTCCACCCCACTTCCATGTAAGTTTCATGTATAGATGGGGCATGAATGATGTATCATACAGCTTCAAGTCAGTGTCTCCTTTAGGTCCTTCTGTGAAGAGAGCTCTAACTAAGGTTGAGTTGGAAGGGGTTTCTTTTTTTCTTATTCACAGCTTCTCTTTATGTGGCATAAAAGAGTGTAACAAACCCCCATCTCATGTATCTATCACAAATTGACTTTTTACTTTTCCCAATTTTACATTATTTATTGAGTTCAAGGAAATATTTATGATTTATCGTGCTGCTGATTAAACTGAACCCTTGAGCCAACAAAAAGTTTTCCTTTTCAGGTGATTTCACTAAGTCTGAACAAACTACAGTATTAATATTAACCAAAACTAAAAAAAAGCTTTGAGCTCTTTATTTTTATGCCGCAATACTGAGGTAAAAAGAATTGCGATAGCTGCCTTTTTCATGTTGACCTAAACTGGCAGATATCAGACTCAACAGGTGAATTTGTCTACGTCTCATTGCTTTGGCTTGGTTCTCATCCTCAGAGTCTCTGGTCTCCATCAGCAGTGCCACGGGGCCTTTGTGTGGCATCCAGCTCAAATTAAATGCTTAAACTGCCTCATGGGCTTCTCTCTGAAGGGGGATGTAATAAGTAAGGGGGGGATTTAATTGGCCTGTCCTGTCCCCTTCTCATCATTTCAGAGCTCTGTGCTGTCTTCTGATGCATTCATCATATGGAAAACCATCTCCCACTCCGGGCTTCATAGCTTGTATAATAAAGAAGCCTTTTTCAACCCTACTTTAATTTCCCTCAGGATTGAAGCCTGGTGTTTACTCTGCGTCAGGTCAGTGTAGCCCATCAGTACATTCACACTGGATTTATGTTCCAGTTTGGTATGGATTATTAGATTCCTGAAAAATATAGTGTTTGAAAGTGAAAATCCATGATGATTTGGAGACAATTGAAACCGTTTGCCCTTAACTAATATTGTTTTTTTTTTAAGGGAGGAAAGGGGTGGCCATTACTTTTCACACACACACACACACACACACACACACACACACTTTTTTTTTCACATTTTTAATTTTATTTTTTTAAACTTTTTTTGTATTCGTTTGTTAATTAACTTATTTTTTATTTTATTTATTGTTATTTGTTTAATTTATTTTATTTTCTGATTTACTTTTACTTACATTCATTTATTTTATGTACTTGTTTATTTATTTATTTTAGTTTTATTTATTTATTTTTAGTTTAGTTTATTTACTTTTCTATTTACAAACATTGATTTGTTTACTTTTATTTGCTTGTTTAATTTTTTCTTTTTATTTCTTGATTTACTATTTATTTACTGGTTAATTTTATTTTACGTTATTTATGTACTTTTATTAGCTTACCTTTATGTACTTATTTAGTAATTAATTATTTTGTTTTATTTTCGTATTTTTTATGTTTACTCTTATTTATTTTATTTATGTACTTTTGTTCATTTACTTGTTTATTTGTTATTTATTTTCTTGTTTAATTTTTTATTTATTTACTATAGTGTACAAACTGATCACCCGGTCTAATTTTTTTATTTATTATTTATTTTTATTCGTTCGTTCATTCATTTGATCTGTTATATAGTTATTTTTGTTAGAAATTAAACATGTAAAATCACGATTAATCACATCCAGAATAAAAGTCTGTTTACATAATATATGTGTGTGTTCTGTGTATATTTATATGTATATATAAATACACACACATACATGTGTATATAGTATGTGTAATATGTATTTATGTATAATATGAATTATATACACACACACACACACACACACACACACACACACATATATATATATATATATATATATATATATATAAGAAATATACATATAAAAAACATAATACATGTATATATGTGTGTGTATTTATATATACATAATAAATATACACAGTACACATACATATATTATGTAAACACAGATTTTTATTTTGGATGTGATTAATCGTGATGATTCAATTTTACACCCCTATTAGAAATTCAATCCCAAAATAATTTGAACTGTCTATATTATGCTTTTTTTATTCAAGTAATTTTTGCATTTTTTTTAACTCACCAGCATATTAGCCATTTCACAATGACAGCCATTTCTTTTTAGTGTGAAATACACAATGAACTCCAGATTCATGGAATTCATGAGAAATGTCAACAGTAACCGTATTTCAGAGGCGACGGACAAGAATAGATACAGTTGGTTTTCATTCTTTGAGAATAATTCATGCGTTCTAAACTCCATATGGCCTTCAGCGGCGGATGATTATTAGTGTGAGACGGGGCTCTGGTTAATTTGAGCATGAAATCTGTGAGCATACTGTAGATAATACAGTGAATACATCTCCTCCCCAGGGAACGAGGGGCCATTGTTTGGAAACGCTTAATCAGTATCAGACTCTGTCTCTGGATTAATGGAAAAGCTCAGTACAGCAACTCCAGTCCGCTAGCTTCCAGCTCTGAAGGATTTACTCAGAAACGGAGAGCCAAATTCAGCTGAAAAGAGTCATATAGTGTTGCTTAACTGGTAGCAACCATGGTGCTAGAAACACCAAGGTCATGGGTTTGAGTTCCATAGTTTATATCTTGTCAGTATCAGACTCTGTCTCTGGATTAATGGAAAAGCTCAGTGCAGCAACTCCAGTCCGCTAGCTTCCAGCTCTGAAGGATTTACTCAGAAACGGAGAGCCAAATTCAGCTGAAAAGAGTCATATAGTGTTGCTTAACTGGTAGCAACCATGGTGCTAGAAACACCAAGGTCATGGGTTTGATTTCCATAGTTTATATCTTACATCTGCCAGATGCATGATTGTAAATGTCATATGAGGTCATATTATTGTACCCCCAAGTAAAATAAATATTTACAATCGCCGCTGGCTGTTTAATTTGATGAGATTTGTAGAGCGGTGCATGCAAACATATTGATCAGGCCTGTCAACATCAATGAATCTTATTTTTAAGAGCTGAATGCTTTTCTTTCTTTATGCATTTATACAGTGCTGCTTTTCATTGATGTGTGTGTGTGTGTTTGTGTGTGTGTTGCAGATTTCCAGTGGGTGCAGGGCGATGTGTGTGAGGTGCAGTTAATGGTCTATAATCCCATGCCATTTGAGCTGCGGGTCGAGAACATGGTAAGTGATTTGATATTACAAAATGAAATAATAAATATTATAATTTTATTTGTAATTTAGTTTTTTTTCATTGTTTAATTTTAGTTGTTTTTATGAAATATAATTTTAATGTGTATATATATTTATACATATATATTGAATTTTTTTTCATAATTTAGTTTTTTACTTTTGTATTTGATATTTTATTTTGTTTATATAAAAAAAATGTGTGCGTTTATTTGTCATTGTTTTTGTTTTATTGTCATTCATTTTATGAAATATTATTTTATATATTTTTATTTGATATTATATTGATCTTATTTTTATTTATAATGAAATTTCTATTTTTCTTTGTTTCTTTTATTTTGTTTGTACCTTTCTTTTTGTTTTGTTGTAGTTATTTTTTATGAAATAATTTTTTGTCGTGTGTGTGTGTATAAAATTCAAAAATTAAGTAATAAATAATACCATTTGTATTCATAATTTTAATTTTGTTACATTTTTTTATTTTATTTCTAAAAATATTTTATTCATAACTTTAAATGTAATTTTTTTTTTATTGAAATATTATATTTTTCTGTCATATAAATTTTTATCTGTACAGCCCAAAATGATGGAGCATTTTAAGTTCTCATCACTGCTATCAGGAAAAAATGCAACTGAATGCATCAACACATTCACCAACCTCAGAGGGTTAAATAACAGTGCTTGCTGCAATACATTCTTATGATTTTAGCAACATTTCACATCTGGAGCATGCCTGTGATGCCTTAAAATGTTGGTAGGCAGCTTACTTATTTTGAGAACAACATTTTTATTTTTATAATTTTTTTTACTATTTGTAATTGAACATGAGAAAAAGGTAGAGAAAGAGAGAAGGGAGAGTCCATTATACACACGCACATCTTCATCTTCCTATGGAAGAGACATCTAGCTCGTTAAGTGCATGTTAGTTTAATTACTTTTGTACAGATTCAGAAAATCTGTGCTTGACACTTTAATGTCTGAATCACAGTAGAAAATATGATCTTACATCAGAACGCTGCAGAGGCTTTATGGTGTTTCTCTTTGTTCATCACTGTAAAATAAAATGCTAGAAACAGATTTTATGCACGAGCACTTATATTTGAAGCATATAAAAGTGGCATTGAGCGCTATGGAGATCTCTTTAAAAAATTAATTGCTTCATTTATAGCGGTTTTGTCACTTTATATGGCATTTTGCTCTCAGTGAGGACAGAAAAATTGGGCTGGAAACTGCACCTAGTGGACATGGTGTTGTCATTGTGTTTGTTTGTGATTTGGGCACTGCGCTGAGCAATGGGATTGTAATGCAAATGTCATTGCCAGAAATCTTTTGTGTTTTCCTCTTTACATATTAAATGCACTTTAGAATTCGACCCAGACAGCTGAAACGAGATGGTGCCACTTATTGGTGGCTTAAGGGCCATTTAGGCTATAGAAGGTCACCATGACCTGCCCATAATGATAGTGGAATGGAGGCAGAACCACACTGAAGAGACTGAGAGGGGTTACAGTGTCTTCCTGACATTATAATGAGCCACTCATATGAGACCCAATTATCAGAATCCGGCCATGTGGAGACGCTCCTAAGAAACCAAGGTAATCGTGTATCAAACGCGGACTCTTCTAGTGCTGCTTTGCTGTCTGCTCTCTACATTGACAGCTGCCTTCTGAGAGGCTGTTCACGTTAGACACATTCTCGCTTTCCATCTGAGCTATTTATTTTTGGTCATAACAAAGTATTTCAGCAACCTTTCTTGTCACTGAGGCGCCTCAGATTTGATTTATTGATTGTTTGAGTTCTCTCTCTTCTTGGCATTATTGGGGTGCCTCAGATTTGATTTGATTTGTAATTTTAATTATGGTAATAACAAGGTGTCTTAGAATTTTAGAAACCCTTTAAGGCAACTCAGATTATTATATATATATATATATATACAGTGGGGCAAAAAAGTATTT